TTTTGAACGACTAGTAGATTTATACTAAAACAATTAGATTATTCGCTCTCGATTTCTGTCGTATGATAGTTGACTCGGGCTGCGCCCTCGTCAACTATCGTGCGATAGAAATCTCGAGCTCATAATCTAATTGTTTAATAGAAACACGATTTTAAACCAATGAGCGCGCGTATTTTCTTACGGTTGTTTTCTTATTAGCTTTATAAACCTGTTTATGTTGTTCTCCAGTATTTTTATCTTCTTCCATTCTTTCTACTATCACTGAACCTGACACGATAAAGTAAAACGAAATGCCAACATGTCCTGAAGAACAAAAAACGCAAAACTGAATTAAAAATCATGAAGTATTTCTCAATAAACATCCATAGTGAGCCAGTGAATATTGAACTTGAAATTCTTAACCCTTTGATATGCTACAGTGCTTTCTATGAGCAGTTGGTTGTCTGTATTTACTCACCCTGTTTTATAACCACTCTGCCTTTGTCAAACATGTCGTAATATAACACTTTGGCCAGTTCTCGTTTGACGTACATAGGATAACGAGCAAAACATTTCAACTTCTTCACAACTTGAAGAATTACTTCAATTTCCTCTGCAGTTCTGTTCCAGGAAAGAGTTCTTAATGTTTTCTTCACACTTGGTGACAGAAATCCACAAGATTGGACATGGGACTTGAAGGCTTGTAGAAAATGAGAAAAACACCAGAAAAGTTAGTCAAAGTTGTTGTTTTTCTATCAAGAAAAGGTTATCTTATCTAAGAAAAGGTTTATTAGAGGTGGATTTAATTTCAACAAAAAAACTTCAAACGGATTACCTGCTTAATACATTGCTCAACAGTTGGAGAAGTTTTCTTTTGACAGTTTCCTTCGCGCTTGCTTTGGTTTTGCATTTATACTAAGTTAAGCAATTGGCTTCAAATCCTGGCGCCACCTTCTCAACCAATCAGAAAAACCAATCGTGACGCCCTCGCGCTGGTTTTTCTGCGCTTCACGTCAGCTACATGAAATTGCTTCGAGTTTTGATTGGTTGAATAGATTGTCTGTTTCCTATGTGATTAGCCAAAGTGATTACTTTGAAAAATTGCTCTGTGTTCAATACTAACTAGTAATAGGTAACATTTGAATTGCCTCCGTTCTCAAGAATATGTTTGAAGTAAGGTTGAATCGTCTTTTATAACTTCCAGTAATAACGCGCGTAGTGAGGAAGTTTTTCAAATTGTCAATATTCTTGGCGATTGTGAAGTCGCTACAATCTGTTATTTACGATCTGCTCCATGGCAAGTGTGAGCGAGCTTAGAGAATCAATAGGATTTAGCGCGGAGACCTGGAAAAAGAAATACATACTAACAGTGATATGTTTAGCCTGCTGGCAGGTCAAATGAACTTGTTATGCTTGGAAAGATAGGGAATAATGATTTGGGCTGTCCATGTAGGCCTAAAAGAGTAATGCTTTCTTGCATTTTGGCTGCGGACCGAGTCTGTATACCGCTATACTGGTTGTAGATCGAGGCTGTTAATCATAGATTTACAGAGTTTTATCATCAAGTCTCACGAGAAATCAAGCATTGCATTGATTATTAATTTGATTATGAGTTGAATGCTCTCAAATTCTTTTCTTTGCCCGACTCGATGAATATTGAATAGAAGTATATCAAAACAAATCACTGCAAACGCCGAACAACAGAACAGCTAAGACCACCCCTGGCGCCTCGCTGTTCAACTGAGATTTAGTCCATATGCACATCTATGTATACCTGATACATCAATAAGCATTCGGGAAACACTGAGTTTTGTTTTGTTCCATTGAGGTCGAGGGGAAACAAAACCCACAGTTCCCTGTGGGGCCAGTCATTAAGTGTTATGTTAAGCCTCTCAACTCAAAAATATGAAAAAAAACTGCGAAAAAAAATCATTTGCTTGACGTCGGCTGGCACACAAATTTCCCGCGGTTTCAAGGTGTACGACCTGATCACGTGCGAGTCGAAAGTGAGGTCTTGACCAACGACACGTGAAACGTTCTCCTTCAATCGGAAAACGTATTTGGCTGGGATTTTGTCCTCGGCAATAAGTCTGGCTGCGGGTTTTAAGATTTCTCAGTTATGAGTTATAATTATAGTCCCTTTCTCAGTTGTCAATAATTTATTGACCCATGATGAACTCTTCCGAGTTACCAGTGTGTCGTCGTTACTAACTTTGGTATCGTTAAGCAAAAGTTAATACTGCTGAAATATCGCGCTGAATTTCTTTACTGTTCTCATTTGACTGTTGGCTTTTTTTCTAATCCTTTTAAAATCTTCAGTTTGTGTGTCACTCAGTCGAATTATTTCAGTTGAATAATCGAAACCAGTTGAATAGGATCAAGCCGCCATTGGAATATTAGACGGCCTAATCTCAGGCTTCCCTTACCCCTACCCCTACCCCTCCGCCTCTTCCTCCCCCTTGTCCCTTCCTCCCATTGCTGATGTTAGATAAGATAAGATAAGATAACTTTATTCCATCAGTCAACAAAGTTACTGGACTATCTACCTATCTGCCTACTTACAATAAAAATTAAAAAAAAAAACAACTGCTTTTTATGGAGGCCGTGTCTAAAAATTTACTTAAAATTTACTTCAAAGTAGCGACTTAATTTAGATTTGAAATCGGTCAGTGAAGATGCTTGTCTTAGGTCTAAAGGTAAGTTGTTCCACAACTGAGCTCCGCTGTACGAAAAACTTCTCTTAAGATAATCAGTTCGAGGTTGTGGAAGAACTAATTTTTTTTCGGTATTCCTTAAACGATAAGCATTTACGTTGTCACGATATACGAACCTGTTACAGTCGCTTAGTAAGGAGTTCTTTAAAGCTGTTCCGTCATCAGAGATATTTACCGTTAACATTGAAGCTAAGTCTTCCTTTTCCATCTTCAGATTTAGCAACAAATCCTCTTGCTCGGGTGTGGTCATCTGATTGACGCACTTCCTTTGACATGAAGCAAGTGTTACAGACATATTAGGTAGATTAAACATACAGAACATGGCAGCCAGCCTCTTTTAATCGGACTTACATTAAAACATTACCTTGAGCACATTTGACCATTTTCTCTGTTGAGTTATAGCCTTCGCGACCTTTTTAAAACTCACACCCCCTCCTTTCTGCCAGATTGTTGGGGCTGATTTGGTTTCTTCATTGACGCTCGGCGCTGATTCGGTTCTGGGGTCATAATTTTCCTCGTCAAATTCCGGTAAAAGAAAGGGATTAACGACGTTACTCGGTCTTCGGCCACTTGGTCGTACATCAATAGAAGAAGCCTTCTTTTTGGATGGCCCAGTTATTTTGTCTTTCATTACAGCTCATAAGTTCAAACATGCTTAGCCATTTCTCTGACGAAAGAAGGAAGTTTTATAATGTCTAAATACTAGCGTAGTTTGGAAAAAGCCGCTTTTCTGGATAGCAAATATGTCAGATGTCTGGGGTCTCTTTTTCTGAAGGTTAACTTTGATTTAATGCTGACGGCTAAAGTGTTGTTAGGTAGTTTTCTTACAGCTATTACAGTTTAGCTGTTAGCTGTATTAGTTTGACTATATGTCGTCATAACAGTAAATGCAGCTTTGTGTTTGATGTTTCAAGCGGCTAAAAGTTCCTGATAGAACTTGTACTCACCTTGCTAACTTACAGGTCCTGTGGAGTGTTTCGGTTGGGGTATTTGACATCCTAATTACCGCGTTCCAAAGTTTTGTGACGAAGTTAATTGAAAATACGCGCGCTAATATTCCGTGATGCTGCTTTGAAGACAGAACATTTTTCTAAAATAGGTTAGGAGCAGTTGAACCTTTCATAACAAAAATTATCTCGGAGAGAGCTGCCTTTTAAGACCTTCAAGTAAAACACAGGAAAATGTCTCCTTAATCATGTGGACCAAGAAATAAATTTGAACATTACAGATTCAATAACTAGTCCCACAGTTGAACAGACAAACATACACTGGATTCAATCCGTATAGAGTTACTGTAATTATCTCGCACTATCTCATTATAAAAATGGGATTGAAGAGATTACTCAAAACTTACTTGTATTCATCTTTTCCATTATATTATAGCAAGTGACTTCAGGTCAGACGTATTCTCATATTAACAAAAAGTAGCCATTCCAAAGACTAAACGCCCCAAGTAACAAGAACAAACACCCAGGGACTAAAATGTTCAAACTGTGACTTGTCCAGTTCACTCCCACGCAAGGAAGTGGGTTTAATCAGTACTATTCAACTGGTTTTATAAGCTTTATTTACAGGCAAAGTTTAGGAGTAAGCTTGTAATATGAGGGAAGATTATAATGTTCCCACAAAATAAACATGAAAAGCCAAGCTATATTCAAGATATGAGTCGCCAACAATTAAAACTAATTTTAGCGGCGGCAAAATGTCTCAGGAAGTGAGCTTGATAAAAGGGAGAGCATATGACAGTTTTTTCTCAAGACATCGTGCTAAAACACATCCTATAATGGTACAAGAAGCCTGACAACGTTAAGAATAAATAAAGTGTTAGCCTTATTTACCTTGGCAGACAAAAAAGATGCGTTAATAAAACAGGCGAACTTATCTGAACAGTGAATCTGTTCAACTAACATTTGTAATCAACCAACCAAACAGTGTCTCGTACAAAACCTTCATCTTACATGTAGCTTTTCAGCTGTCAACTTCGCGCGTGCGCGCGCAATTACGACTGATTATGATGTCGTTCGCGGTATATTCTTACGTATTTCATGCCCATAGCCGTTTGGTGAACTCTAATTGTTACTAAATACTCATAAAGCTGTAGGAAGCACAGCCTACCGAACATGAAATCCTCTGGCAATTTGCTTAACGACGATGACCAAAATGAGAGTGCCTCTTCGGCAAAGAATGACACGGAAGAATCGAAACTTTCACCGATAGAAAGATTTCGCCGCCTCGCTCGTTCAGTGAAGTCACAAGGTTGGTGGACCAAAGCCCTGCAGACGAAAATTGCGGACGAACATAGTAAAGAATTCCATATTCATCAGAAAAGTGGCCAAACTGATGTGGTTTTATCTTTCAATGTCAATGGTGAACAAATTTCCTTGTTTTATTGTATCTTATAAGTTACGTTCTTAGGGGCGTTGTGCACGGCTTTTGTTGTTTCTTATCGTGATAGAGCTGTAACACCCGAGAAAACAGCGTAGTCAAGTATTGTTACATGCTGTATTTCAACGTTCTTTCCAATGTTAATAGCACTCAAGTCAGCGATGCATTCATCTGGTCATGTCTCCAAGAAAGCCAAATTTATTCTTACGAAAAACCCTTGGCAAAGGAAAGAAGTCAAGTAGTTTTACATGCTGTATTTCAATGTTCTTTCTATTGTTAATAGCATTCAAGTCAGCGGTGCATTCATCTGGTCATCTTTCCAAGAAAGCCAAATTTATTCTCATGAAAAACCCATGGCAAAGGAAAGAAGACGAAATGAAGGTAATGCCAGCTTAAGATCTCTCTGCGGTTGCTTGTGAATAACTCATCTGACTCTGAAAACCGCTGTCGTGTGAGCTTTTGGTAATAGAAAAAATATGTGAACATAATTTGCTTTTCTCTGCCTCAGAAATAAAGAACAGGGCGCTTTCCAAATTCAGTTAGGAGATATTAATGTGCCTCTCCACTATTTCTTAAAAAGACTTACTTTACGCGATTTAAACTACAAAGATACAAGTTCTTTGTTTTCTTTTTCCTGTTGAAAGTTCAGATTGTGCATTTGTATCAAAAGTATTGAAAATCAAATGAAATGGTTTCATGTGACCGGCGACTTTAGCTACGGACAAGTCATATACAAATCTGTTTCTCGAACTCAAACAAGATATAATTAAGTTGAAAGTGTTAAGCTGTTCGGGTTGTGTCGCTGAAAAATGCACCATCCCTGATCCTAATATACTATGTAAACTCTATCACTGCAAAAAGTGTTTTCATTATTGCCTCTTCATCGTCCGTCAATCACTTGGGGCTGTCACTGCTCATAACATTGGTCCCTTTTTAATTAATTTTATGATGCGTGTTTTCTTTAAAGACCGACACTAGTGTCTTTGCAGTTAATACGTACACCATCCCTTTTCTCGGCTATTATCGAAACGTTATCAGGGTCGTGGAATTGTTTAAGTTACAGATAACAACGTAATAATCTTGTTATTTATCCTCAGTTAATCTACAGCGTGGTAGATAAGCTGAAATGCTTTAATCGTTACACATCACGTATCAAACAAGAGCTTGCAAGAGTTGTATACTTCCAGCAGTTTGGGGATGGACGAGTTGTTGTCCAACAAGGTAAAAGAGTCCAGGATTGATTACAGCTTCAGGGAAAATTTAATCTTGGTAACTTGGAACCGTTTATGGGTTTTTATTACAGATTCAACACTAGCCAATCACAGCGAGGTTTGAAAGTGGAATATCCCACGATAGACATAAAAACTGTACATAGTAGAGAGTTACTAACAGGCGAAGTAGATCCAATGTATTAATTCAATTCATATTTCAACAGCAATTCATGTGTATGTTTTTATTACATTTATTACTTCAGCGTGTTGCCATAAAGATCGGTAGGTAAACAACGAGTGCAGGCAAACTGAAGTGAGTAACGATCCTGCACTGTATGTTTTTTATCATTAAGATGCTGTTTTGTTCAACCCAGGTCACCCTGGAAGGTCCATGTACTTCATCGTAAGTGGAAATGTGTTAATTCAAGTGACAGAGACAGACAAACGCACAGGATGCTCCAAGAAGCAGGTAACTGTCTTGTTTATATAAAATAGAGCAAATGTGTTTTTATGAAGTTACGCAGTGCGGATGAATTAATAAGCTTGCGAAAGCGGTAAAAGGAAGATTGACTAACCAATCAATGCCCTCAATGAAGAACGATTTCCTGGCCTGGCATAAAATCACTTCAAACGTCACTTAACTTAACCAAGCACGAGGTCAAGATGTCTGGATATTGGCCAAGTTCTTTTTTTTTGGCGCGTTTATGGACAGAGACAGAGTCGAGGTCCACCGAACAAGCTTGGTCGATAAAGGATTTCTTGTTTAACAAATTGACGTTAGTCTTTCAATAGTCTGTTCGTTATTGATCATGAATTTAGTCATAACATTGTCAAAGTAGCTGTGGATCCGAAGACTTTGCTCGTGCCTTACTGGGAAATATTGGCCCTCGGCCGTTTTTGTGCGGACCCGGCGCAGCGAGGTGCGCACTACCATGACCTCGGGTCAATATTCCCCTCGCACTCCTTTAGTAAGAGGTTATTACTTCATACTTGTGGCATTTCAGATCGTAGGGGAGATGTTCGCTGGAGACTCCTTTGGTGAGCTGGCGCTTCTTCATGACATCAAGAGGGCCGCAACCATCATCTGTAAGGGCACGGCAGAGTTCCTCACAGTAGACAAACCGGATTTTAATATGGTACATGGTTTTTGACAACTTCAAAGTTTCACTTTCGTCATGATATTGATCACCGCTCAGAACACTATTTTCTTCTTATGTCTTCTGGTCGATAGGTTTTGAAGAAAGGTCATCAACAGGAATGGGAGACAAGGATATCCTTGTTGAGGTCACTGCCTTATTTCAGCGACTACACAACCAAAGAATTAGAACAACTGAATACAACAGCTAAACTTGTAGAGTACCCGCAAAACACGGTGAGTGGTGTGGGCAATGAGTTAGAGTGGGAAATACCTCATGTCACCTTGGCAATAAGTTGGACTACGAGCGCTTTCCATTCGATTAACAGTTCCGCTTTGAATTTACGGAAATTTCCAGTGACAAATGGAACACAATTTGGCGAATTTTCGGTAAAGAGGACAGCTTTGCGAGATATGCTGAAATTTGCAGAAATTTCTTGTCGTGAATTTCCGTTCTACTTGTAGGGCTTTCCAGAAGTTGCTCGAGGTTTCCCAAATACTTGCCCGTAATTTCTAAAAAAGTCAAAAGTAACTAAAAAAAGTCAAAAGTTGCTTTTTGTAACGGAAGTTGCTCAAAAGTTGCTCCAAAAACAAAAAAACAAAAATAAAATTTTGTTGCTTTCTTCCTTAATTGGTCTGACGCAAAAGTACAACAAAAGTAAGATTTCAAAGCATTTTTGTGCAATTCTGCAGCGTAACCAGCGTTGCTAAATAACTTTGTCCTCAGTTAAATCCAAAAAAATTGAGTAAAGACTACGCATCAATATTAATATTAATCTTGTAAAAATTCTAGTCGAGTGTGAATCTTCGTCCGTCATTTGAATTAAAAAACCCCTCTGACCTAGCAGCTCGGCTGCATGCATCTTGCACCCATGATCTGCTCCAGGGGGTAGGGGGAATGTGGCTTCTATTTCACAGGAAATTTTAAATAAATTGTTTACTAAAACATTGTGAAATATGGAAGCAAGGCCAATTTAACCACTAAACGCTGTTCTGATTTCTCAGAGATGATAGAAAACTAGAAATTGCTCAGAATGCAAAAAGTTGCCCGAAACGAAAAAAGTTGCTCGAAATACAAGAAGTTGCCTAAACGTTGCCGAGCAACCTGTGGAAAGACCTATTGACTTTCCTCCCGGAATTTCTAGCCTGCGTCGCAGACTCTGCCTACCGCGGGTAAATTTCCGTCTGCGACGCAGGCTAGGAATTTCAGGAATTTTCGGTTGAATGGTTCTAACAATGGTAATAAGTTTATAGACTAACTGCATGAAATGAAATGCGTTAGACAGACAGACTCATATCACTCATGCACTGGTCACCTGAATACAGTGAACCAGTCATGCGCAATACGTTGAACAGGACTAGGTATAGTAAGTTAGACTGCACACTACGTTTGACTGAGCAATGAAAAAGACAAAGCAATAAATTTGACGACAGCTTAGTCTGAACAAGTTTGTAAACGAACTGGCTGTGTCGGGGGAAGTATATATCGTTTTACCCGTTTTATCGTTTTACCCGTTTTATTATTATTATTATTATTATTATTATTATTATTATTGTTATTGTTAATGAAAGCTAACCGCAAACAGGCTAACAGAGCGCTATTCAGGCTAACCGGAGCGCTATTCACACTAACCGGAGTGCTTTAAGGCTATACCGGAGTGCTATTTAGTGTAAACTACAAAAAAGTTTTGACTGCCGGTCATTTAGTTTATTTAAAACCTTGACCAGCTGCCGGTCATTTAGACACTTCGTATTTCCAGTGTATTTCGCTGAAAATAAGGTAATTACTATTGCATTAACACTAACCACTGACTAACAACGAAACATTGCTTAGAGTACACATGCATAAACGAAACACGTTTCCACAAGACGTTCATAATTGTATTGTTCACACGATTTTATAATTGTGTACTTTCACGGGAATCGAACAATGGACCTGGATGTTGTTGCTTTAGTTGTCTCCGCTTCCTCTCCGCTCTCGGCCGCCATGTTTGATGTGGATACGTTTCATAATGAAACCATGGATAGTTCATGGTGAAGCATATTTCATTCGTGATCTGATATTTCGGTCAAGTGTGAATCTTGCCTTGTATAAACATGTTTACACGAACTTATTCAAATTCAGAACATTAACACCGGACGAATTAGAAAATACAAACAAAACCATAAAATAAAAGAAGGGAAGCGAAATTAGTAGTTTCCTCAGTTTGAATAATGCGGCATTTATTCCGTCGGAGTTCACGTAACTTAATGGTATAAAATGATATAAATCAAAATGCCGCTATTGGACTATAGAAAGCACAGAAGGCGATGAGCTGTGAAGAAGGACTTTATTAACTGCCTTATAAATACCAAAAGGGTGAAAATGCAAAGTTCTACATACATGTCTGGTTTGTATGGCATGAAGCAAGTAGGAGTATTTGACTCTCCTGTGTGGTATTCTGGCCTCCCAGCACTGAACCTTCAGACTGAAGTGAAGCACATTCCCTTACAATATTCATTTACAACCTTATATAATTTTGTTAATGTGCTCAGACATCAGAATACGTTTCGCTGTATTTTGGTACGTTTCATGTGAAGTATTCAATTTGGAGCTACCCATTAGTTGCAAACCATGTGATCATGTTTCAGAACACAACCACACGGCACGTTCATTACAAGTCATTAATAAATAAGCAAATCCAGAAGTTTTGGTTTCACTTGATTTCAGGTTTGAAAAGGAAGTAGGATGCAATCAAAACAGAAAAAATGATTTGACGATAGAATGATTGAAAGTTTATTTCTGGAGGATTTAATATTTCAAACAAATTGATTGAAATGAAGTATTAAATGTTAATTCAACCAAATTGAAAGGATCACGTTTCACTTTTGATGCGTATGTCTATAAATTAGTGAATATTTCATTTTTCTAATCGTGATTATGGTTAGCAGTTGACGGATCCAAGTACATCATTATATGTCTTACTAAAGGTTTTTTAAAAAAGCTGAAATTTATTTGTTATTGAATTAAAAAGGTGTGTAAGATGTCTTTGTTTTCATCGAGGGAGAAATTTTTTTTTTTAATACGTGGTGGTCGTAACCATCAACTTCAACTGTTTACTCCAAAACGACACCACAAGGTGAACACAGCTGTTACGCCAACGCACTGGCAAGCTCTTTGACATCTTTTAAAATCCAAATGCCATCCTTGGACGTTTTTAAAATTTTATTTAATTAAAAGAAAACTGTTTTATTCCAGTGATATATAGAAGTCTCTTCCAAATAGGCGTATTTGTGAGCAGGAAGAATTCGAAAGTTTTAAGAAGTTTAATTTTTTTTAAGCGGGACGGCTCGGGCGATAAAAAAAGTTTTCTTTAATCACCCTTTATTCAAAATTAGTTTTGAAAATTGTATTTACACACGCGTTATTAAAATTCTGTTCATTTCCTCCTACAATCCTAATACTTCTACTGACGTAAATCTTGACTTATGTTTTTATTTAAAGATTGTATGATATTTTGCCATTGTTGTGCAAGACAACAGTTGTTGTATTCGGATAAAACACGTCTGACATCTTATTAATTCGCCTTAAAATGATTGATGGAGTTGTCGCAAATTATGACAGCACGCCATTTCAAGTCAATAAAATGTACGGCATTTTGTCGTGTTTTGTGTGGGTTAGCATCTGAGTAAACACAAAAGGCGCGAACCGTGTGTCAATGCGTAATGTGATCCATATCACCGTATCACCGGATCCAAAATTCATCACGATAAAATCATTTCGAAACCAACTGATATAACAAGACTTGAACACTTCTAAATTTCTAAACCTGTCTAGTTTCTGATGTCTTTTGTTTCCGTTTAATTTCGTGTTTTTGTTTGAAGGTGAGTAGAGCCGAGACCCCTCCCACAGTACAGAGAGTCAGTGGTGTTATTTGTTTTTCACCTGTCTGCAGAGAGAACACAATACACGCCACCTCAGCGGCTTGACCAAGTTTTTTCGTCTTCCGTCGAAAGTTGGGCCTCTTTAAATCCACTTAACTCTCACACGCGAAGTGTTTAATGTGTTCAACTTTCAGTTGAATAAATTAGAATCTCGACGTGGTTTATAAGTAAGATTTGCAGCGGTATTCTTATCAGCAACATTAAAGTTTCTAACTACGAAGATCTCCTTTGGCGGCGTGGTGTCGTCTTAGACAAATACTCATTGGATTTTCATCAGAAAAAGCCATGTCGATGACTCGTGATAACATTACATCGACGGTTGTAAGTCAACTCGAGCTGTGTCGACAACCGACATTCAAACCATTTATCGCCCAGTTATGCTTTCTCATCATCATCGCCATCACCACACTTTTGGGAAACCTTTCAGTGTGTTTGACGGTATTGTTCAACAGCAGTCTTCACACTTTGACCAGCTATCTCGTCGCTTCATTGGCCTGTTCGGACTTAATGGTGGCGACGTTCTCGCTGCCCTTTCGCATCCATCAGACATTACATAACACTAACTGGTGCCTCAGTGAAGACGCGTGTTTGTTCTGGATATGGGCTGATCTATTCTGTTGTTGCGCCTCCATCGGAAACTTAGCATTAATCAGTATCGATAGATTTTTGGCCACCAAGTATCCACTAAGATATTACCAAATCGTCACAAGGAAGACATCGTGGCTAATGTTATCTTCTGTGTGGATTTACTCGCTGATTGTGGCATCATCTGGCTTGACCAATTGGACCTTTCCGACTGGAAAGCTTGTGGGAATCGATAACGGATGCTACAAGCCTGATCCTTACTTTTACAGTTTCGCTGCAATTATGGGTTTTTTTTTCCCTCTCGTGGTAATTATTTGCGCGTATTGTTACATTTTCAAGATCGCCATGGAACATTTCCGCGCTATTTCAAGATTAACAACACCTATTCAACCTAGCGCATGTCAAGGCAGTGAAAATCAAACTTTGTACAAGCAACAACTAAAAGCCACTAAAACACTGGCCATAGTGGTCGGCGCTTTTGTCATTTGCTGGTTGCCAACTTTCGTTATCCTATTGGTGAAAACCTGGTGCCAAACGTGCTTGAATAGTCATGATAACCCTGAATTAAGCGGTCTGTTTTACTTCATTAATATCGCTTTCGTGTACACGTTACCGAACATTAACTCAGCCATTAATCCCTTCATCTATGTTGTTTTTAGCAAGGATTTGAGGCAGGCGTTTATCAAGACTTTTAAATCTCTATATCAAGACTTTTATGATATCAGTACGAGAAGACAGTCAGATATTACTAGTTTTTCGTAAAATTCATACGAACAACTTCCAAGTTGTTTTTGTAACATGACTGTAGTTTGTTTGAATATCAGTGTTAGAGTGAGTTGCCACGGGTGGCAAATGCTACTATGTCTAATTCCTATCAGCACCGATAATTATTATTGTATGTTTATTGTAAACAGGAACTTTTCCTTGATCGAAATTTATTTATACATTTTTGCCGCTCTCTTTATTTAAGTAAATTATCTAACCGCTTATGAAACAACGCAACAAATTTATGCACATTACTTAATTCAACAAACTGTATCTAGAAAAAACATGACAAATAAAATAAATTTTACGCCAAGTGATTGCAAATGGAATAAACTATTTTTGAAAAGCATTGGGTGAGCTATGTTGAGTGTGAAGTTCACTTCCTTCTATAGCGGACACGATGCACTTCAGTCGGTCATAAGCCAAATCTCTCTTCCTCATGGTTGGATTTAAATTGAAAAAAAAATTCTAACCCCTGCTTTAGATTACTACGAGCTTTAATCTCAAAGAAAGCAAATGTCTTATACAACCACGAAAAGCAGAATGATCAGCTACAAAAGCAGAGTGATCAGTTACTCGACTTTACAGGAGACGGCCAGCCGCGCGTGTAAAAGTCGAAAATGGTTTCTTTTCATCTTTTCATTTGATAAGTAAACAATACTCTTTACTGCGACGCTTAGCTTTCTCGCATTTAAGCAAAGCGAAAAGATCTCTCTATCTTGCATGTTGCGGAACTCACTTGGCTTGGAAATTTCCCTTCAAAAGCGACCATCTTCACTAACCCGACAAAATTTGTTCGGCTTTTCAGTATGCCCTGTAATCGTATCTATAACAAATTCTCGATCGTGATTGGTTCCTATTTGTCACGTAATCGGTGCGCGATCACGTGTCCAATTTCGACTTTTTGTAACTGGATACGTTCGCTATTCGCACGTCAGTCACGTGAGCTTCAATGTAAGTTAAGTCTGCATTCGAGCCTAGTGGCCCATCAGGTCAGAGCTTATCCCAGTTTCTGTAGCATGAAGCGATTAGGAGTATTTCTACTCCCCCTGGATGGGATGCTAGTCCACAGCAGGGTTACCCCCAGCATTAAGTTCGCCGGTACCCATTTATGCCCTTGGGTGGAGAGAGGTATTGTGAGAGTAAGGTGTCTTGCTCAAGAACACAACACAATGTCCCCGTCAAGGAAAGCTTTAATGGCTTCCTTCTTAATGTTCCCTTCAGTTTTTATAAGTTATGGAAAAACACTACTGACTTTTTCGCTCAAAAAAAAGTTCTCAAAATACTTTTTTAATCTCGAAATTTATTATTATTGTGGTAATTGGACCTCGTGTCGTACAATTCAAGGAGAATTCGTGCTCGTAAATTCAAATCGGCCTCGCGCTGCGCGCTCGTCTGATTTTGAAACCATACTCGCTTGATTACACCCCGAATTACATTCCACACGGTTCAATGACTATCACAAAACAAGGCAAATTTCAATCAGATTCAGATTTACTCACAGGGCAGCCATCCTAACATGGTGAACTCCTTTATTTCAGGTGATTCTTCGAGACGTAGGAAACCCAGGAGAGTTTGCTTACTTCATAAGGTCTGGCCAGTGTCAGGTTATACAAGAAATGACTCTTGTGAGAAGGACGCCTACTGTGGGCAAAAGAAGACTCATTTTACCCCCAGTGGATACAGATAACAGAATAAATCCTGTCTTTAAAGTAAAAACTTACGATCGCGTCAAAAAGCATTTCCTTGTTATCTGCCGTCTGGGTGAAGGAGATTACTTTGGCGTTGGAGAGAATTTCTCGAAAATGAGCATCGTATCAGTTAATAAGGTAAGAACATCTTGTCAGTTATTGATCATTACCACTGAAATTTGTTACTGATTCGTCCCCAAGCATCTGAGTGCGGACGGGGGAATCCGTCTAAAAGCGCGACCGGGTCGAGTGAGGAAATGTTAGCCGTAAGTTCAGAGCGGAAAAAACGTAATAAACATGTTTGTTTTTATTTTTTGCATGAGCATAAGCATAAGAAACATACCACACATAATTAGATCACAAAGGACGTTACTTAACACACCTTACTGCGCTTGCGCATGTTGTTTGTATTTATTCTCTTATAAAAAACAGTATTCAAGAATGAGTTCCACTGGCCCCAGTTGTTTACGTAATAAAAACGTAATAAACATTTTTGTTTTTTGATTTTGTGCATGAGCATAAGCATAAGAAATATACCACGCAATTAGATCACAAAGGACGTCACTTAACAACACCTTACTGCGCTTGTGCATGTTGCTTGTACTTATTCTCTTATAGAAAACAATATTCAAGAATGAATTCCACTGGCCCCAGTTGTTTACGCTATCCAGTGGATAGCGATGTATCCGGTGAATAGCTTTATCCATTCTTTGAACAACTGGTCCCTGATGTTTTCAGGTTGAACTGGTTTTAATTTCAAGAAGTGTTATGGGTAAACATAATCACGGCCACAGATTAGAAGAGATGAAGCAACAACTCGACAAAGCAATCCCTTCCAGGAGACAGGTTTTCCGAAGTTTTGTGGCTGGCGAAAAATGGCGGTATTACAAGTTAGACATTCTGGATGAACTGCGAACTAAAAAATGGATGTCGAACCCAACAACATTAGAGGATGTTCCTGTCACAATACAAAAACAACACTTGTATCAGCAAGACTTTTACTCATGCCTGAAACATTTACCGCCACTCCAGTTAAAATGACAAACCAGACCAATTATATTTGAGACTTTTGGACTCTCATTTTTTTTCACTGAACATAAAAACTTAGCAAATCAATAATTTTGTAGTAACTAATAAATCATTACTTTACCACCGTTTGTTTATCAACTTGTTTATTTTTCTTTCCATTTTGTCATCTCGTTCGTGAACTGCTAATCAATTCCCATCACACATTCATACTCGGCGTATGTAATAACCAGAATTTCCTCAACCAAACTTCAATTTCAAAGAACCACTTCTAAGGTTTTAGAAATTAATCTCCCATTTATCGTCACTCAACAGCACGAACGACAACTGGAATGACCTTTTAATTTGTGACTATTTGCGATTTTACAGTTTCGTATGAATTTTACAAGTGATGGATTCTCTAGTAAAACACTCGTGTCCACATAATAATGAAAAGTGATGTTGCTGTTAATTCCACCCAGCTTCCCGCAACTGATTTGTAAAGGCCCGCAAATTATCCCCAAATTGTACCGTAAATGATCCCAGGACCGGAAATGATCCCCAGATTGTCCCGTAAATGATCCCGGACCGGAAATGGTCGCCTCGCCATAAAATTTAGAAATGTGAGGACTCAGTAATTTGGACTGTGGATTTAAAATTTATGCAATTGCTTTTTTATTTCTGTGAAACTCGGAAAACCGTGAACATTTGGATTTTATTCCAAAAGGTTAATTTGGTACTGAACCAATCACAATAAAGTTCAGAACACGCGAGAAAACCTCAAAACCACAGCCAATAGGCCACGTTCGATAGATCAGTAGTCTAACATGACTAACATCGATCCGAGGCTTTCGGGTTAGATTTGTAATTTTTTTAAGTTTCCTTTGTCTTTCAATTCCCAAAAGAGAGTTGGATACAAAGAAAACACCATCAAACATAGAAGTCTGTCCTGAAAGTCTTAGAGCCATGTTAGAATATTGATATATCGAAACCTGGCTTATTACCGCTGGTGTTTGCGGTTTAGTTTTCTCACGCTTAATTGGCTTTTTCCTTACTACACAATAATAATCCTTAAATATTTCTGGTATTCACGGTTTTCTGAGTTTCACAGTAATAATACAATATTTTGATACAACCGTTACTATATGAAACGCAAGAAAATGTGCAGTATGAACGATTTGAATTCAAATTTCAAATCTTTAAAAATGATATCCAACGTCACGAAATCCTGTGTTTGAAATTTTTAGTTTAGCTAGATCCTTCCCTGAATGCCGGATTTTGTTGGGTCCCGGCCTGAGATGTATGATAACACAGGATGTTCACAATATCCTCAAATGTGGAGACAACCGAGAATTCCCAATGGTGGATTGACTACATTTTTACTACGGTAACTAGCACGAAGAATCTTAGGCACTTTCGTGGGAGCTCGTAGCTATCTAGGACGCAAACGTGTTTGTTGCGGGGACTCCGATATGCAAATGTGTCACTCACTCAAAAAGTCGGCCCGAACGAGAACGTCCGAGCCCGACGCCATGTTGGAATAGTAACCGAGCCCGACGCCATATTGGAATAGTAACCGTGCAGTCGGCGCGAGCCTCGCTATCGTGTTTGCGCGGTTACTACTCAAAGCGTGCATCGTAGCAGCTCGAATTGATGATTTTGTAGCTTTTACACGACCATTAAGGTCATTCCTCACATTTGCATTGCGCATCCTTACTGCGCATAATTTATGGCGTCATTAGCGCGGGCTCGTGCACGCGCACATTGAAAACATGA